CCAGCTACTCAGGAGGCTGAAGCAGGAGAATCGCTTGAACCCAGGAGGCATAGGTTGCAGTGAGCCAAGATCGCACCCCTTTACCACCCCAGCCTGGGCAACAGAGCAAGACTTCATCTCAAAAAAAAAAAAAATCAAACCTTGGGGCCAGGTGCGGTGACTCACACCTATTATCCCAACACTTTGGGAGGCCAAGGCACGGAGATCACTTAATCACTTTTAAGGTCAGGAGTTCAAGACTAGCCTGGCCAACGTGGTGAAATCACATCTCTACTAAAACTACAAAAATTAGCCGGGCATGGAGGCGCACGCCTGCAGTCCCACCTACTCGGGAGGCTGAGGCATGAGAATCGCTTGAACCCAGGAGGCAGAGGTTGCAGTGAGCCAAGATTGTGCCACTGCACTCCAATCTGGGCAACAAGTGAAACTCTGTATCAAAAAATAAAAATTAAACCTTGGAGTGAACTCATCTGCGAACTGTGGCATTTGATATTATGACTTCAAGCTGGATCTTGTGTTCCAGAATGATAGTCGCATTATGAAGTATTTTCACTTGTCCTTTGCTCGCAGTGCCATTTGTTTCTGAAGGTAACCCTGAAGAGGCGTGGCCCATCATTGCTAAGACAGGCTGACGTATTGGTAATTGCTGAGGGTAACTGCTGTTCTGACTGCTTTGTCCCTGCCTTTCTGTGACAGCCTGGCTGCCCCGTGGGCTCAGGCAGGCCCTTTTGTCTCTTCTCTGTGTCATAGAAACGCTCATATAAAATCTACAACAAGCAGGCAGCCAGCCATTGATCCTGACTACTATGCCCTCTAGAGCCACAGAAAGCAGATCCCTTGAAGAGTGCTGTTAAGGCCTCACGGGTCTTCCTCGTGCCCTCTTTCACTGGTCTTGCTTTTTCTACAGGACATTCAGAGGGCACCTGAAGCCCTCAGTCTCTAGGTCTCCAGACTGCTGAGTCGTCCTAATTCCCCAATTTTTTTTTTTTTTTAACAAATACTCATTTAGTCTGAAGTCTAGGTAATTGTGGCTCGCTGTAACCTCAAACTCCTGGGCTTGAACTCCTGGGCTCAAGTGACCCTCCTGCCTCAGCCTTCCAAGTAGCTAGGAATACAGGCATGCACCACCATGCCCAGCTAATTTTTATTTTTATTTTTTGTAGAGACAGGGTCCTCAATATGTTGCCCAAGCTGGTCTCAAACACTTGGCCTCAAGCAATCCTCCCGCTTTGGCCTCCAAAAGTGCTGGGATTACAGGCAAAAGCCACTGCGCCTGACCCAGCATTTTTTTTACTAGAGTCACTTAGGAAGTTAGGTCCCTGCTCCTAGTTTACCAAAGTTACCTAAGAAACAGGTCACCAGTACAATTCCAGCTTCAAAGGCATTGGAGCCCCTTCTAGATAATGAAATTACTGGAGCCTAGCCCAACATTCTAATCATGGGATATCATCCCCTACCACGAGTGCTGCTTAGCTGTTGCTCACTGCTATCTTAAGACCATCTACCAAAGTGCCTGCTAACCCATGAAGTTAGCCCATTACCCAGATTTATTTTTTATTTTTATTTTTTTGAGACTGAGTCTCACTCTGTCACCCATATTGGAGTGCAGTGGTATGATCTTGGTTCGCCACAGCCTCCGCCTCCCAGGTTCAAGCGATTCTCCTGCCTCAGCCTCCCAAGTAGCTGGGATTATAGGCGCACACCACCACACTTGGCTAATTTTTATATTTTTAGTAGAGACGGGGTTTCACTATGTTGGCCAGGCTGGTCTCAAACTCCTGACCTCAGGTGATCTGCCTGCCTCAACCTCCCAAAATACTGGGATTATAGGCATGAGCTACTGCACCTGGCCCCTATTCCCCAGATTTAATTTAGACCTTAACCTATGGGTCAAAATGGAGTTGCCATAGAACAAATAACAATTTAGCCGAGGTAAGACTTGAGGAGTATGTTTTTGTGTGAGTTGGCTGGGAAGATCGCCTTAGGCTTATGGACCACATTCCAAGGCCCATTAGACCCTTAGTTCACTGAGCAAGAAGACATGGGGAGTCTATGCAAGCCCCCACTGCAGGGGACTTCACAGAGAGTGACTCTAGATGCCACTGTTATTGAAGCATGACAGGGATACACGTTGACAGACAAAGCCATCGCCTGTCCTTCCTTCACCTCCTATGCCATGTGCTTTCTCTTTTCCAGCTTACAATGCCCAGCCCGATGCCAGAGTACCTCAATGTGCACTACATCTGTGAGTCTGCGTCCCGTCTGCTGTTCCTCTCAATGCACTGGGCTCGGTCAATCCCAGCCTTTCAGGCACTTGGGTAAGTGGCCACTTTTCTCTGCATGTATCCTTGGACGAGGGCCTTCCTCTCCCTAGGAATGACCTGGAAGAACTCTGAGGGCCCTTCTTCTAGTTTGACTGTTCCTATAACCTCATTCAAAGGACTCCGAGTTTCTTTAAGTATAGTTAGTGGACTGGTAACAGGGTTACCAGTTGCCAGTTTTGCAGTGTTCCTTAAACCTTTACGGAGTCTCCTACGTACACCAAGGATTTGGTACTGGGAGCTGAGGATAGAGAAGAATGTAGAAGGCAAGGGTAGTCCCTCGCACTGTGCTGTGGCACAGTGTGACTCTCAAACTGAAGCCAGGTCGGGAACTGTGCCTAGCTTTCATGAAGTGAATGTGAATCAGCTGTTTCCTCAAACACTGATTTACATTCTCTCACAAGCCACAGTGCCAACCGTCACATTGAGTAGTACAGACCCTGGTGTCATCTCTGCAGGAAGCCCCCCTTTTCTTGCTTTCTTGAGCACTACTTGTGTTTATTTCTCCTCTAAATCCCAACATTGGCTCTGCCAGTGTGCCAAGTGCTGTGTAGCTCATGTAACTGCCATCGTGTCATCAGGTGGCTGGCAGTCTGGTTGAAAGATAAGTAACCATATAAAAATGGAAATACTGTGAGAGTTAATGCATATTGCAGAGTAACCATCCTTAGGTAATATGTGGAAAACACTAGAATGGAGGGCAGGGTTGTCTAGTAGGTTATACTGTTGGGTTTGGGGCAAACAGACCTGGTTGTCGGGCCATAAGAATAGCCCTTGTCAGCTGTGTGGCCTTGTGCAAGTCACTGTACCTCTCTGAGCCTCCAGTTTCTCATTGTAGAAGCCTTGCATGGGTTTAAGATCTGTAAAGCTCAGTGCCTGGCATGCAAGGGACTCAGCAGAAGGCAGTGTGGTTCTGTGGTCAGTTGGTATGGGATATGTCCTAAGTAGTTGTTAGAATGGTCACCTCCTTCCATTATTAAAGAAAAGGCAGACAGAATTGTCTCATTCTCCAGGGAGAACTAGACAGGTGATGACTGCTAAACAAGTATTAGGAGTTTCATTGTTAGCTCTTTGGAGAATAGCCTACCCCTTGCTACCACGTGGTAGGTGGTGTAACTTCAGGCAGTTGTTTTTTTTAATAACACCACAGTCTACAGTTATTAGTACTGGTAGGTACCTGAGATTTTTTAACTGGAGTTAAAACGTGGTCCACCCACTTCCCTGAGTATACTTTTTCTAGTTGGGTAATTTGGAACTTCCTCCAATTTCTCAGCCTGGGCTAGATAAAGTGTGCTACCACATTTAAAGTGGTTTTAGTTACATTTCATGTACTGTTTTTCATAAGTTAATGTCCAGGGCAGTGATCATAGTAAAATGCTAGATGTAAATCTGGGGCATTTGGGAGTGACACAGTGCAGTAGCCCTGGTTCTCACTGCCCTCCTGTGGCTGGGCCACCCTTGAGGCAACTGGAGAAAACAGCGTTGTCAAGACAGCCCAGTTTCTTTGACCTCCTGAAATCTTGAGACAGGTGAGGGAGTGCCATTTGGGATTTCTGAGAATAAGGATGTAGTGTTTTATGATACGCCAACCTTGCTGACTAACCTGAGTAGAATTTAGCCAGGGCAGGGCTGGAAGCGGCCTTAACTGGACCCCCATCCTCCCTGCGTCAGTCTCAGCTCCAGCACAGAGCCTGCCTCCTGCCCTACAAGGTATGCAGGGTATGTTTCTGCCCTGCAGCCTCTTAATGACCTTGGGTGAAGGACCTAAGTAACTGATACCATCTCCTGGAGCAGAGCAGAGCCAGGATGCTGAGGCTTTAGAAGGCTGTAGGAAATGATGGTTTGGCCATACCTATTAAAATTTCTCATTATTTAAGTCTAAAGAATGTTTTTTAAGAGAATAGTTGATTATCAGAAAAACTTTAGTTACAACATTCATAGACTTAGTCATAGATTTCGTCATTTTCTTGGAGAATGATCCTGAATAGCACTTCAGCAAATAATTGCTCAATTTACCTGTTTGGGAAATGCTGGGACTTAGTGCCTGCATGCCCCACAACCTTGGAGAAATGCCAACATATACCACACTCAGCCTCATCTCTATATCCCCAGGCAGGACTGCAACACCAGCCTGGTGCGGGCCTGCTGGAATGAGCTCTTCACCCTCGGCCTGGCCCAGTGTGCCCAGGTCATGAGTCTCTCCACCATCCTAGCCGCTATCGTCAACCACCTGCAGAACAGCATCCAGGAAGGTAGGGTCCAGGGACTTGGGGCTGGGGTGTGTCTTGGTCTAGCCTGGTGGCCATGGAGCAGAGCCCAGCCCTGGTTGGAGGCGCATGTCAAAGACATCTTTGTTGACCCAGGCTGGCACCATAGCATATTGGCTAGTCTCAGTGTCCCACAGTATCCATAGGCTGAGGGTAATTTGACTTTTAAGTTATGGAACCTTTGGACTGGGCGTGATGGCTCATGCCTGTAATCCTTTGTTAAGTCAGGCAGGAGGATTACTTGAGCCCAGGAGTTTGAGACCAGCCTGGGCAACATAACAAGACCTTGTCTCTTGAAAAATACAAAACATTAGCCAGGCCTCAGGAGGCTGAGGCAGGAGGATTGCTTGAGTCCAGAGTTTGAGGCCATGGTGAGCTGTGATCATTGCCATGTACTCCAGCCTGGGTAACAGAGCAAGAACCCATCTCAATGAATGAATGAATGAATCAATGTTACAGGACCGTTATCAGTCAGAATATGTAAATTTCTGCCACACTGCACTCTTCATATAATTAATATGAAGAAAAAAATGGAAAAGGTCAATTTCTTGATAGGCATTTAGTGGTGATCTTTTCAGAATAATCACAGCTGATATTTTCGTCTTCATTGATAGGTTACTTTTCTCATGTATAATAGTTCAAAGATCCTCACAACCCTATAAATTAGGGACTATTACCTCATTTTTCCATATGGAGGAACTGAGGCCCTGATAAGGTCCCTGGCTTGCTCCAAATGAAACAGTAAGTACAAAAACAAGGGCACAGGCCAAGCACAGTGGCCCACACCTGTAATCCCAGCACTTGGGAGGCCAAGACGGGGGAATCATCGGAGGTCAAGAGTTCAAGACCAGCCTAGCCAACATGGTGAAATCCCATCTCTACTAAAAATACCAAAAATAAAAGGCCGGACATGGTGGCTTATGCCTGTAATCCCAGCACTTTGGGAGACTGAGGTGGGCAGATTGCCTGAGCTCGGGAGTTTGAAACCAGCCTAGGCAACATGGAGAAACCCCATCTCTACTAAAAATACAAAAAGTTAGCTGGGTGTGGTGGCGGGAACCTGTAATCCCAGCTACTCGGGAGGCTGAGGTGGGCAGATTGTCTGAGCTCGGGAGTTTGAAACCAGCCTAGGCAACGTGGCAAAAGCCCATCTCTACTAAAAATACAAAAAGTTAGCTGGGTGTGGTGGCGGGAACCTGTAATCCCAGCTACTCGGGAGGCTGAGGCATCCTGCCTCAGGCCAAGGGAGCTGCCTGGCAGCAGGGCCAGGAAGAATCACTGGTCTAGGAATTCATTATCGAGGTAGAACCCATATTGGAGCAGACTTTGCATACCTCTTGTCACTTCAACTGCAGCTGGAAGATGAAGCTCTTGTTCATCTTGAGATTACTTATTCTTAAATGTGAAATCGTCCCATTTCTTTCCATCTGTGGCCCTCAAATAAGCTAGTTTTATTGTTCTTACCCACCTTTCTCAGAGACTTGTGATCTTGGTTTCTAGATAAACTTTCTGGGGACCGGATAAAGCAAGTCATGGAGCACATCTGGAAGCTGCAAGAGTTCTGTAACAGCATGGCGAAGCTGGATATAGACGGCTATGAGTATGCATACCTTAAAGCTATAGTTCTCTTTAGCCCCGGTAAGATATGCAGTGGGGATGCATGACCCTTTTCCACCTGTATCTACTGATGTTTCTGAACATGAACATGTTGTCATCAGTGGTGTAGAAAGAGCCCTGCAGATTATATGTGACCTAGATGTTTTGCTAGATAACATAAATACATAAATGCTGTTAATTCTTGCCTTTACAGCCCCAAAGAAATATGTTCCCAGTGCCTGATGTCACGCACTGAATAGATTTGTGTCCTAATTAAACCATTGGCCAAACAAGACTACAGCATACAAAAGTGTGCTACCACCCGATATCCTTTTTTTTTCTGTTTTTGGCTCTTACGAGTTTCCAAGTTTTATTAGCATATATAATCCAGTACACATTGAAGCTCTGCCTGTTTGCACAGAATGTGTATAGCAGTAGCAGCAGCTGCTGCAGAGCATGATAAAAGGTATGTTCACAGGAGATGAAGAGGCAGCGATCAGGATGTCTGGGCTGGCCTCACTTCCCTCAGCTGTTCTCTCAAGGCCTCTGAAGAAGTCACTCAGGCTGACTGCTGACCTCACAGTAGGGGTTGGACACAACTTAACCTTTTCCTCTTCCTTCCCAGCCCTCCGTTCACTAACAACAAAATAGCTAATAAAATTGAGACAAATTATATAATTAAATATTTAGAAAGTAAATGACAATTTCTAATTTTATGTGATAGTTTTTAAAACTATGTTTTCTAGGGTAGTAGGAAGCCAGATGTCTGGAACCAACCAGGTGGGACTGCTCAGGCTGGCATCTACTCAGGGTCCCCGACCCCCTCCCAGGAACTTCAGGCCTGGGCAGAAAACAGGAAAACCCAGCATTCTAATAATATCTAAACTAGATCAGTCTTTGAATTCAGTTTGTTAATACTTGAGAAGTTTGCAGAAGTTTGACTAAAAATACTAAGAAGTCTGCAAGTGAGACTTTTCAAATTCAGAGGGAATTTGGAGGTACTTTTCTGTTTTCAGATCATCCAGGTTTGACCAGCACAAGCCAGATTGAAAAATTCCAAGAAAAGGCACAGATGGAGTTGCAGGACTATGTTCAGAAAACCTACTCGGAAGATACCTACCGGTGAGTCATTTAGGTACACGCTCTTGCTTGGGGCAGCAAAGAGTGTGGTTGAGTCTGTAGTTTCAAATATAAGTTATGTTAGCCTTTCCATTTTTAGCAGCCTGATAGAGCCTCCATTGGATCACACTCTAATTCTTGAGTTTTGTTTTTTTCCAAGCTCCCAAGAGCTAGAGAGAATTCTCGAATTCTAGAGGCGGCGTAGAGAGTGCCAGCAGGAGGGCCAGGACTGCAGCTGATTATGGCATTGCTGTGTGACTGTGACTGTGGCCTCAGATTGCTATTCTTTAATTGGAAAAGTTGGAGCAGATGCTGTATGGCTTGTTCCGGGGCTAACACTGTACATGAGGTTTGAGTTCTCATGGAGATTGCCTTATCCAGAATAGTTTGAAAGGTCTGCTCCTCTTGTCAGTATCCATTGAAGCAGCAGTGCTAGAGTACTTGACAGAAAAGTTCTCATTGACAGAAATCAAACCTGACCCCTATAAAGGAGTGTATGAGTTGTATAAAGTCATTTTACCTTCAGATAAACTGATGGAAAAAAGTTTATTTGGGTGAAAATTAACGATATTATTTGTAATGAATGTGTAGCCATATATATATATATATATATATATATATATATATATATATATATAAATTAGCTTTTCTCATGGAGATTTAGACAGGAAAGTTTTCAGATCTGCCAAAGGGCAGAATGCATTGACAGGCTTTTCAGCCAAGGATGGAAGAATGCTTTCCTGTGACAGCTTCTGACCTAACGGAAGCTACATGAATTTGTGAGACCCTTTCAAGTAAAGTATTTCCCTCCCCATCATATCCCCCTAAAATAAACATTGGAACAAAATTGACAGCATGGGAAGACACACAGGCCCACCTTCCCCAAAGTGTGTCCCCTGCACAGACCTCAGTCTGCAGGAGCCCCATGGAACAGAGGTGTCTTGGGTGTACATACATTTTGTACTCACTTGTTTGGTTTTTTCTCATGATAAATTTCTTTAAAAGGAACTGTTGAAATCAGAAAAGAGAGGTGGGTAGATGGATGCATTTGGTTTGATTCTGTGCAGTTCAGACAGGGCCCCAGGGGCCTGTGCTGAGCTGTGGTTGAAGGGCACCAAATAGTCTCCTTTTCCAATGACTCTCTCTTTTACAGATTGGCCAGGATCCTCGTTCGCCTGCCGGCACTCAGGCTGATGAGCTCCAACATAACAGAAGAACTTTTTTTTACTGGTCTCATTGGCAATGTTTCGATAGACAGCATAATCCCCTACATCCTCAAGATGGAGACAGCAGAGTATAATGGCCAGATCACCGGAGCCAGTCTATAGTGCACACCACACACCTGCCAAGGAGCAAAAGAATCCTCCCAGGACCGTTCACATACAAAGAAAAGTAAAGTAGTGGTATTTTGGTATGTGCAAATATTTCCATATGTTAGCCATTTCCTGTCTGGTTTTTCCTTATCTGTTAATCCCAGACAATAGCAATTAAGACTAGTAGGATCCTTTCCTGACAAGAAATGTTTTAATGCCTTTTGATGAAGCAGCAGATTTTGAAACAATCTTTTAACTCAGTTTATATTTAGAAATTCTCAAAGGGCAAAAAACAAAGGTTTTCTAACGTCAGAGACTAGCATTAAAGAAAACTGAAAGAACCTAAGAGAATAGTATGTGTGTGTATATATATAAAAAGTCCTTGGAATTATAGATACTAATTACCAGGGTAATAATATTAGCACTTTCTAAGCACTTAGCAATGTGTAATGTTAGTAACATCTTGCCTGTGGGCAGGGCAAACGGAAAACTGTGTATGTCTTTTGCCGAAATGCTAATGATTTCTGTGAAAACTCACTAGGGTACAGGAGACAATCATTTATGTTTAAGAAAAGGCATCATTCCTAATTGTGTGCACATGTTGTGGTTGAGCTGAATTCTGTGAATGGAAACATGGCTCATTTGCATCATGCAGTAAGTGAGAGTGTGGCGGCACAGTCGGTGGTGACGCAGACCAGAAGCTTCTAGCCACAGAGCGGACATTTGTCAGGTTCCCTGACCACTTGGTCCTGGTCTCTGATGGGCATCTACAGATCCCTCTAGAACCTGGGGTTCTCCTTTGATGGCTTAGTTGTCTGAATTGGAGTACAACTAATCAGACATTAACTGCCAAATGAGATGTACAATTCCTCTAGCAAGTGCAAACATCCCCAAGTCACGTCCAGCGCTCATGGCAGATGGAGCCTTCTGACCGAAAAGCACAAGGTTGGCATTTTGAGCCCTTGACAGTACTTCCAATACAATTGGGGGTGCCTGTGTGTTTGTCCAGATGGAGGAGCGTGGCCTTGGAGTGTGAGGGTTACCTTCCCAGGACTTTTCTACTCCAAATGACCCCTTGAAAAGGACTCATGTTTATGCAGTTCTGTCAGAACTGTGAGGCTGGAGTGGGGCTGGGCAGGAGCGTCCTGTGCCACCTAGCCAGAGTGGCCGGAGCCTGGTAAAACTGGATGGAAGGTTTCAGGATAGTTTTTCCTGTTGACCTTAATACCAGAGATTTTAAAAATGTGTGCAGACTCAGCATCTCTGTTGGCAAGTCTGTTAATATTACTAGCACACCGTGCACTTTGGTTCCCCCAGGTGTGTGCCAGCCGACCACCCCAGAGCATTTTAAATGCAGGCTGCCTGCTCCTTAAAAACAACCCACTATTCCCATTCCCAAGGCGATAATCTTTTTCCTCATAAATTATAGCAACCAGAGTTTACAGCAAGAACAGAGTATGCTGGTAAGAAAGTTATGTCTAACTTTCAACACCCATAAATTCTCATGGATGTGAATAAATAGCAAGCTCTTCCTGTTTGAGAAACATGGCATGTGGAAGACCAGGTCAAGTGTTTTCTCTCTTGAATAGTCCAGATTAAGAAAAAGCACCTTGTCGGGTTAAGTTTGCCTGTTGATTTGTTAATCAGATGGTATCAAAAAAGATCCCCAAACACTCCCCTGCCTCACAGGTGCTCTGATCTGGCTCAGGCTGGTGCCACACATGTGGTTGCACGGGGGTGCAGGCAATGGAAGCTGTCGCAGGCTCAAGGCAGAACAGAATGCTTGATTCCGAAGGGTTGGCAGCACTTTACGCAAGTCACTATTAGTGGGGTAAGTGGGAACAATATCTCCAACTTCTGAATTCTTTAGATTTAATTGTATCATTTTCTACTTCTTGCCTTGGCAACAAATTTTGAGAATAGTGGGGGTGGCCATTATAAACTGATGGAAAGGATTTAATTTTGCCAGCTTAATTTTTACTTTTCTAACCCTGATGTGTTTTCAGTTTCAAAATTAAGACAAAAAAACGGCTGAGAAAATGGAATTGCGGCAGGTTTGTTTCATCTCTGCTTGTGAAGGATTTTAGTAGTGGGCATCCTGAAGCTCAGCTGTGCTTCTTACACAGATTGTTGCCTGCCTTCTGTCCTTTTGATTCTTGAGTGTGAGCATGAGGGCCATGTTGCAGTTCTTGGGAATATACACATAACAGCTTTCAGATCCCAGTTCTTGGTGTTGGTATAAAGGTCTCCACCAGCCCCTCTTCTCATTTCCAGGTCACTCAGTGGCAGCCAGTAGGCCATTTAGACTCAGGTGGATAAAGAAGTCTTGGGCTCTGGTCAAACAGCCTTGCAGAAAATGTGATTTTGCTTGAAAAGGTGCTGATTCTAACCTGGTCTTGCTCGTTAAGTCCCTTCGCTGGTGATGGCTGGTTTTGGGTTTTGAACACTACTTTGTCAGTTTCTCAGATCCTCTTGGCCTTAGATTGAAGTGGCCTTTTCTTTAAGGATCATGTCCACATAAGCTGAATTCTTGGTGCTTGAACTCATTTCAAGCCTTTGACTGCAGGTCCATTTCAGCTCCTGTCAGGTTTGTTAAGGAAAGTCAGCCCAAAGTCAAGAATTAAAGAGATCCAAACCAAATATTTGAGCTCCATCTTTCACAGTGCTTATAACCGTTGTTAGCAATTTGTGAAACTCTGGGTTTCATGAAGTGAGACGTATCCTCTGGCTGCTGAACTCCACAGCACCACATCATGCTCCCTCTTCTACTGGCCTGGCCGCTCCTCCCTTAGCGAGGAGAAGCAGCTGGCTCAGAGAGGTGGAACAGACACATGCTGTCATCTCTTAGTTAAGTGTGCTCTTTTCCAGAAGTATCTCAGGTAATGTTGGGTGAAGACAGATAAATGTTGAAATTGGTGGAGATCATTACACATTAACATAAAAGGACAGGAAGAGATTTCTTTGAAAGACCAAATTAGTTGAGCAAATAATACTTTTCAAGTTACTCCTGGAAGGTGTTTTTAAGGAAGTATGTTACCTACCATACTCTCCAAATTTGACATTTCTGTGTGTGTGTCCTGCAGGGTTCCATTATTTGTCTAACCTTTGCCATAAGGCTGTTGTATGAGGTTCTTTTGCTGTTCTGGGCTTTAATTTCAGGTGTCGTCACTTGTAAGATGTGTTGTGTAACTGCCCTCAAAAGAGGGACTGATTTTTAGCTTGTCATTGTCAGTATTGAATGTGGACTCTTCTGAGGCAATTAGGACACTAAGCCTGGTGGAACCATGGATGCCTTGGGCTCCCTAATCTCTTGGCAATATTCATGCTACATACATACTTGGCTGTCTTGTCTGGGGGATAGTTATGGCAAGGAGCAAAAAATTCTAAGGACTTCAGCTGTTTCTAGGGCTTTTACTCTCATAGTCCTTTAAGGACATTTCCTGCAGAGCAGTCTTGTCACAGCCCTCCCTCTGCAGGGCTTCCAGCCCCTGGCTGCAGTCAGCAGTTCATACCACATCTGTGCATCCATGTTCTGAGACCTGATGTCATTGGAGTCCAGAAGTTTGTTGCAACTTTCCAGTGTAAATGACTTTACATGCAATGGGGTCATAGGTAACATTTGCTTCTCTAAGTCCAGATCATGGAAAGTCTCATCATCTGACAGCCAGTCTTCTCCCAGAGAGGGTGGTGCCCATTGGGCCCTGGGAATGCCTCAGCCAGCAAAGCAGATGCCCCATGTGCTTCCGTTTCCCAGCTTCCATTCTCTTGGTTATGCGGCTCTTTGAAAATGTCTTAACTTTGATGTAAATTTTAAAAGCCAACCCTTCATTGAGACAGGGTTGGTTTGGGTCTTTTGTACGCAGGGTGTGGACCTCCTCATTGTGTGCCTCCCGCCAGCGTGCACTTCACATGTCCAGCCCTGGGTCCCTTCAGCAGCATTGTGCGTGTACAGGTTACTAGGCTGCAAGACTGAATGAATGTACATGTGTTTATATCCCCTCTATATGTACAGTGTATATAGTGTGTGTATGTGTACATAGATGTATATTATGTATACAGACATGTATCCAAACTTTCCTTTATGTTTTAAAGAGAGTTTTTGATAAAGTTGCTAACGTAAACTGATGTGGGTGTTGCAAGGTCCCTCAGCAGGGAAGATTTGCTGGTGATTTCTTCACTCCATTTTCCTTTGGGTGAGCGTGCCTGGGAAGGGCCATGACGTCAGAATTTCCATTCTGCACGAGGAAGAATTCCAGGCAGAAAACGTTCTGACAGGGTGACATTTCTTTATGTTTTTAGGTTCAGACAAGAGCCAGGAAGTTGGAAGACAGTTTATCTTAATATCTAAAACTAAATAGGAATTTTTTTGTGCACCTATTCATGGCCTACCTGGAAGGAACTTGGCAGTTGAGTTGAGCCATCAGCCTTCCCGGCTACTCAGCTCTATTGAGCAGCCCAGAGACAGGCATTATGGTCAAAGATTCAGAACGCTCTGTGTAAGTGAGGCCTGACTCCCAAAGATGGTAGCAATGTTCCAGGCTTGCTCTGTGCTCAGTCAGCAAGATTTTGGGTACTGTCCTGTGAGTAAACAAATAGAAATTCCCATCTATCTATCGCCAATTAAAAATAATCTACCAAGTATTCTTTAAAATTAAGCATGGACATTGATGGCTAACCTTTGTGCCATATAAGCTACAAATCGCAAATTACTTCTCTAACTAACTGTAAGCATGTGAATGAAATCCACAGACTTCATTCCTTTCTGTAAATTATGATTTTAAATTTTCAGATAAAAATTACATTTTAATATGGGTATGTGTGTCCTTAAAGCTACAGATACCAAATTTTCCTTGTCCAGGTCTATTCTGATGAATTTTACCCCTTAATCTGGCCTTAAACTGAGACTTGGTGAGACTCAGCCCTAGAGAGCCAGGGCCCGGCCCAGCAGTAGTGCTCATGGACCTGGGAAGCAGGGACCTGCTGGAAGGAATCACTGGATCACTGCAAAAACTCACATAATCCACAGGTTGCTCTTTTTCTTTTAAAAATAAGTTATTAAAATGTGTTAAAAACACTTTGAGACCATAGTACTCAGTGCCTTTTGTGAGACAGTGGGTTATTTAGCCTTCAGCTTCCCTGTTTTTGATGTAGAGAAAGCTTCTGCTATTTCATTGGCCTCATCCCACAAGATTGTACGACCTTTCCCTGTCATAGCCTGTCGTGACAATCACACTATTGGAAGTGGCTTTCTACTTAAAATGAAAATAGAAGTGTCACAGTCTCTAAATGAATTGAAATAAAAAATTTCCTTTGGGGCTGTATATCTTAACAGCAATCTAAAACCAAAATGTGAGCTTAAGAAAAGTATCTTTGGGGGGGAGAAAAACGTCATATATTTTTAATGCCCAGCTATACTTTCAGTTAAGAAGCCAATAATTTTGGTGTCTTGGTATTTGTACATGCAACATAGAAAAAAATGCTCAACATTTATTGATTGATAGACTGTTAAAGTTTAGTGTTTGGATAACATTTGGAAGTAGTAGACTTTACATTAAAAAAATGGCTTTTCTTTAGGAAAGTATAATCTATTATTTTAACAACCATAGCATTCATGGACTCAAATGCTGCTGCCACACACAACTCAAGTGCTGGAATATTTTTCTACAGTCTCTCTGTTCTACAGATTATCTTGTAAACCAGTGTTCAACTAGTTTTATAACTGAAAAGCTGCACATTTTTCACAGTACAAGCTGTAGTTTTTACTTGTAGTTTGGACTTCTCTGTTAGAATGTAACTGCATTACCAGCCCTTTTAAAGGCATCTATCAAAGGAAAATTTGGGTGTTAGATTTTCTTGGGACCGTTTCTGTAACCTCTGCCCTTCACAATATAAAAAATATTGGTTATGCCATTACATTTTAATGCCAGGTTTAAAACCTGTTGAGAGCTGCAGCTTTATACAGCTTTCTTCTCCCTGTGAAATCACTTTGTTTATGTGATGGCATTTAAAAAATAGCATGTTCTTTTTAAACTGAATTTTATATCTAATCAATGTCTTCAGTCTTGAAGAAGAATTTGCATTGTTGTGTTTGTATATAGAGTATTGCAGTGCATGAATTAGCTTTATGCATTTTATTAAATGCTGTTTCAATGTGGCATTATTGTTGTGGCTTAATACTACTACCTAAATGAGGTTTATACTATTAAAAGTGAATTAAAGACTAACGTGCATCCTGCTCCTCATTTTTCTTCATAATAGTGAACCCTGGCCCCCAGACAATGCAGCACTCTCCTTTGTCACGGAGATGAAGCATCCTGGTGGTCCTGTCTCTACAGCTCTCCAGCTCCTACCTTAGCCTTAGTGGCCAAGGGGGATTGGGCCCTCTGTGGCCCACTGGATTTGTTAATGCCTTTAGTGGGAAACCCTGGCAGGACAGTTTCTACATCCACCCAGCAGCAGGGCAGCTCCTTGGTGTGGAACTAGGAAAGCCACACAGATGTTTCTGGAGCAGAATACAGTTGGGCTGCTGACCACTCAGGTGTCACTACAGACAGGCCTTAAACTGGCAAGCTCATTCTCTAAGGATATGTGTGATTATCAAGGGTAAAAATAAGTTCCAGAAGTTAGAACATATTCATATCTCACCTCTCATGTTCCAGGTGAGGATTCTGAGGTCCAAAGTCAGATGCACAACAGAATTCTCTGGCAGCCAGCTAGAGCCTTGCTCTGTCACCAAGGCTGGAGTGCACTGCAGCCTCAACCTCGTGGGCTCAAGCAGTCTTCCTGACTCAGCCTCCTGAGTAACTGGGACCATGCAGATACAGGTTTAGATGGCACTGCCAGGTAGTGCCTCAAAGAGAAGAAATGTGGTCATTTCAGAAGAAAAATGCTGGTGAACACTGCTTATTCAAATAAGATTAAGAACATGTATCAATTACAAAATCCTCACATTTTCTCCAATTTTTTCCCATTTCTGTACATTTTAAACCCATCTTTTATACTACTAAACAAAATAGGGAAAGACAAAGGTGTTTTTTTTGTTTTTTTTTTTTTTTTTTTTTT